ATGTGCCGTAGAGTTGGTTCTGACTCATAGCGACCCTGTACAGGGTTTCTGAGGCTGTAAATCTTTACGGGAGCAGAAAGCCTCATCTTTCTTCCGGGGAACAGTTGGTAGCTTTAAACTGCTGACCTTGCGGTTCGCAACCAAATTCATAACCACTACCTTACCAGACGTCCTTCCTTAGGGTGGGACTGTTCGAATTAGCCCTGGTGTTACCATGAGATAAGCCTTGGGCCGTCAACTGCAAACCCACCAGCTTCTTCTCAGGAGAAAGAAGAGGCTATCTGCTCTCATAAAGATTTATAGTCTTGGAAATCCAAACAAACCGAGTTCTCTAGGGCCAGATCTATTTGATGGCAGTGGGCGTGGGAATCCTCTTCTAGCTGTTTAGTAGGTCTTCCCTGAGACCATGTTTCTCTCATAGAAAGACCCTCTACCTGGGCCTTTTTGTGTTGGGTCCAATGGTTGTTCTTGTCTCATTAAAGGACTAGAGCTGTGCAGGGTGACATTGCCAGGTGGTGGGACTAGAACTTAACTCGACTCCCAGGCCAGTGTCCCTTCCTGGGTCCCACTCAGTCCTTCTCAAGCTCTCTCAGGCCTAAGTCCTGCATGGAGTGAGATACCTGGCCAACTCAGGGCCTGTGGACAGAAGGAGCTAGGGTCAGAGGGGCTGGGTGGGCCACTGCAGACCCCGGATGTAGCACTGCCCCTCCCTGAGCCCTGTGGAGCCTCAGTGACTGGGCTGAGAGGCAGTTGCCAAGGTGCCTTGGGGTTTCTGACTTAACTGCAGCTCCACTGCCAGGATCAAATTCACCCTGGCATGCAAATGAGCATTTGGCCGGTCAGGGGTGTGAGTGTGTGTAGGGTGGGGGTGGGGGTGAACCCAGGCCCTGTAAGAGGGTAACGGAGGCAGGAGGAAGTTATATAACAGGGATGCTGAGGGGCCAGGCACACTGTGGTGTTACATAACTGGAAGAGCGGTGGGAGGGAAGGCAGGCGCTATCTAACACCAGTGTGGGGGATGGGCAGGCTGAAACCCTGTGGGACAAAGAACTAGGGCAGCTTGAGGTCAGAGAGTGGGCAGTGGCCCAAAAATTGGGTGAGGGAGGGAATCTCTGGCCAGTTCATTCATTCCTGGGCTCATTCATTTGGTAAACATTTAGAGTACCTACTATGTGAGGGTCCTGGTGTGGCGCTGTGGGCTAAAGCACTGGATTGCAAAGTCGGTTTGAACCTCAAGGTTGGCTGTTCAAGCTCACCAGCCACCCCTCGGAAACCCTATGCAGGGTCGCTATGGGTCAGAACCAACTCTATGGCACTTAACAGCAACAACTATGTGAAAGGCCCTGGTTTTAATCATGTGTAATTCTCACCCCATTGCTCTCTGGTAGGCAGTATTATCCCATTTTACAGATGGCGTCCTGGTGTGGTGTTGTGGGTTAATGCGCTGGACTGCAAAGTCAGTTTGAACTGCAAGGTTGGTGGTTCAAGCTCACCACTCACTCCTCGGAAACCCTATACGTTGTTGCTCTGAGTCAGAACTGACTTGATGGCACTTAACAACAACAACAACAACAGTTATCTCCCCATTGCATATCTATGGTAGGCAGTGTTGGACTGTTTTTCTCAGAAGAAAGGCAATGATGATCATTCCTATAACTTAGCACTTGCTCTGTGCCTAGTTGTAGACTTAACTCTATGGAGACGGATGAATGATTCATCTTTTCAGAGCTCTTCACATCTCCAGGAGGCAGGTCTTAGCAGTGTTCTCCTTTTGCAGATGAGGACCATGAGGCTCAAGGTCAGACAGCTGTAATCTGTGGACTCTCCTGCCCTGAGGCCCCACTGCTCTGCTCACTCTCAATTTACATAGTCTAATTCTTTTGCACTCATTTCCTGTCTGATGGTGGCTCTGCCAAGGAGGGGACTCACTGAGCTACCCTACGATTCTAATGTAGGAGCTGGGAGTGCCTGCCTGAGATGGGAGCAACTGGTGGGTGTAGAGTGGGAGATATACCGGAATCATAGGATCTACTCAGACCACATACTGTCCTGTCTACTGAAACTCATTTTCCTCATGAGGAACACCCAAGGCCCTTTCTCGCTTATACTCTATGATTCAAGGCCCCAAAAGAGAGCTCCTCTAGGATCTGGGGTGGAGCTGAAGTCCTGGTTCCAGTTGACCTTTACCAAAGGACACCTTTCATCTCTGTCATGCCTGGCATGAATATAGACTGGTGAATGCTGGGAGGGCAGAAGGCAGGGCTAGGCTCTTTGCATTGGACAAGGCTGATTCTGATCCAAACCTGGACACTCCATACTGGGGGCCAGCTCCTTCTCTGCTGGATTCCACCCCGAACCTCCCAAAGCTCTGCTATCAGATCCATTGTGGGGATCATTTTGGTTTGCTTCTGAAAAAGCTGTGCCTGGGGCAGATTCTGAAAGCTGGGGTGGGAAGCTTCCTTTAGACCCCCTATATAAGCCCTGTTAAATGTCTGCCATTTCCCTGGCAGGTCAGTGACATCAAATTCCAGGCACCAAGTGGGGAGGAGAAGGAATCCTGGATCAAAGCCCTCAACGAAGGAATCAGCAGAGGCAAGAACAAGGCCTTTGATGAGGTGCGATGCAGCCCAGTGAATGGCTGGGAGAGGACCCTGTCACCACACCATCCCAGACAACCTTTCCATCATATCACTGCTACAAACACTGGGGCATCTGCTGTTGTTACTTCATTTAATCCTCACAATAACCCCCCAAAGTTGGTGATGATATTCCCCATGTTATAGAAGAGGAACGTTAGGCATAAGGAAATTGAGTAATTTATTTAAAATAAAAAGCACGTCTGTGGTGGGGTAGAACTGATCTGATTGCAACTGTGCAAGTTGCATTCTTCCAACCCAGCCTCAGCTAGGCATAGCAGATCGGCTCAGGCTAGGTAGAAGGCTGGTGGTGTGCTGAGAGCCTGAATGCTCACTTTCTAGTTTGGCCACAAAGCCCTGGGGTTGGCCTTACTCTCCACCCTCCCTGTGGTGACCCAGCCCTGCAGACCTCAGCCCCCTGTGCTGGTAGTGGTGACTGACAACAGTGGCCCTGATCCATCTTGGGATGAGCAGAGTGTCCCACGAGGCCAGTCTCCTGGTGAGGGTTTGTCTTTTTCATCATAGGGGTCTTAGCTGTTTTGGCTGACATGGATCTTGAGTGGCCTCTTGGATTGCAGGACTGAGGGCCAAGGGAGATAAGTGTTCTCAAGCAAGTCTCCTGACTCCCAGTCCTTGACTCCTCTGTCTGTCTTGTGTTACTGTGTCATGTTCAGTGTGGAAAGTGGGGAGAGGGATAATGGGACACGTTGTGGGGGTGGGGAATGGCCCCAGGAATCATGAGCTGGGCCTTATCCCACAGTCTTGGTGAAGAAAGGATGGTTCGTCCACTGAGGAACAGAAACAATTACCCCTAAGCCATCCCCACCCCCTCTCCAAGTGGGCTTGAATGCTGAGCACTTATGGGGTCTAGTTGTACTCCCTGTCACATGGACAGGTGCTCCAGTCTCCAGCCTGACTTCCTCTGTGACTCTTAAACTCTTGGGCTTCCAGCTTTTCCTGTCCCAGGTCCCTTATCCTCAGGATTGGGAAGAGTGACCTTTTCTCAAGTACCATAGGGCCTGGGCTGGGGACATAGTTACTGCTCACCCCTCAGTCCACAGCTAAATGTCAAAATATCCTCTAGGCTGCCTAGATCTCTATCTTAGACAGAGGAGCAGTGCTGAAAGCCGTGGCCAGACAGGAGAGGAGCAGCTTGAGACTGCAGGGACAGGCATGGCAGTGTGGAGACACAGAAGCAGGGGTGCAGAAACAGGGAGATGTCTCACAGAAAGGGCCAACAGGTGGGATGCTGGCCCTGGGAAGCGAAGATGGGTGTCTAGACCCTGCCGCGGGGTCATGCCAATGCCTGAGTACTTCCCACTCTTCTCAAGACCTGCTTTCTCCTTTTTCCCAGGTCAAGGTAGACAAGAGCTGTGCCCTGGAGCATGTGACGCGGGATCGGGTGCGGGGGGGCCAGCGGCGCCGGCCACCTACAAGAGTCCACCTGAAAGAGGTAAGTAAGGCCTTGCCCCCAGCTTGGTCAGGTGGTAGGTCAGTTGAGCCTGGGATCCCAGGCCCTTGGAGTGACAATCAGGCATTGGGCTACTTTTTTCCAGAAGATACCTGGAGTTGGGGACTTCTGAGTAGTCTACAGGGATGTCTGGGTGTGGAGACATTTGTTATATGTGCTCAGACGTAGATATCTCAGAGCCGTAGCCTGCTTCATTGCTGAATCCACATGCTGGCTCTAGCCAGCCCCTGCCCGCCCTCATAGCTCAGCTCCACACCTTCCAGTAGAATAGACCAGTCTGCAGACTGCTACCAGGAGAGCTGGGTCTAATTTCTGTACTGAGGAGGGCTCTGGGAGACCAGGGCAGAGAGAGGAACCTTTGAGGAAGGAAACTTGGAAGAGAAAAGTTTCAGTTGGTAAGACTGGGGTGAAAGGGTTTTGGTGGAGGGGGAATGCTGGGAGCTGAGGCTCCTAGCAGGAAAGTTCAGGGTGTGCTGAGTAGCACACTTGGCTGGGAGGTTTGTCTGGCAGAGGAGGATTGGACAGAGGGAGGGAAGGCTCTCCCCAAAGCGGAGATGGAGAATGGAGGCCCTGAGCACAGGGAATTTGAGAGAGGGAGGAGCCCCCTTTCAGACCACTGGAGCTGATGGGTCTGTGGGTGGGAGAGAGAAGAAATTTTGGAGGTCTGTCAAAAACCTCAGCAATTGTTAAATTTGTGGGGTAGGGGAAGAGCAGGCAATAAGGAGCTAATGAAGAGGAGGCCTGAGAGGCAAATGGCACCGAACCTAGTGGGTAACCAGCCAGGTGTCAGCCACAAGTAAGAGGGGCAGTTCTAAGGAAAAAGCAGGTGAGGACATTACAGCGTATTTGCCAAGAGAAGTACTCAGCTTTGGGCTGTTGTGGTTACTCCAGGGAGCAAGGGCACTGTGGAAGGGAAGAGACAGGATCACACTCAGAAGCAAGGAGCCCAAGGTGGTTGGAAGATTTGTTTTGAGATGAGGCAGCCTGTTCATGTCTGTCAGCTGAGGGAAAGGAGCCAACAGAGAGAGGACTCAAACTGCTAAGGAAAAAAGGAAGACCTAAGCAGGGATCAGGAGTTGTTGGGGAGGGACCACCCCAAGAAGAATTCAGGAAGGGAGCTGGTCTCTGTAGGGGTCCCAATGACTGACTCTGGTATTCCCAGATGTGTCTCTGTAAAAGGGAAGTGAGGGTGAGGCTGCTTGATGGCATAATGGTCCTAACCAGGATCCTATCTTTTGAGGACTCTTGGAAAAGAGCTCATGTCCAGCCCCTTTCCTGGGGCTCTGAGGAAAGGATGTAACTCCCCATGAGCACGAGGTTCTGGGTGTATTCCTGGGTCCTTGGAACCAGCTTGGGGGCAGCCATCTGCTTGTGCAGCTGTTCTCCTCTGGCAGTCAGCTGTGGTCTGGGGCTGCCTTTGTCTGGGATCTGAGATCTGACGATATGAGAATGGGCACAGAATGTTGAGCAGCTGGGCAGGCAAAGGCTGGAGTACTCTGGCTAGGTGCAAGCCTGGCATATTGAACTGAGGGAGGAGAAACAGAAATAAGTGAGCTTGAGCTGAATCTGGAGACCTATGTTTGTGTCTTGCTCCTGTAACTGATGGAACTCTAGACATGGTGGCAGGTGGGTGAGTTTTAGGAAAAGGGACCCTCCCAAGCCCATACAGGTAGGAGGCATGCCTGAAACCATGTCCCCTGATGCCCTGGCCAGCGCAGTTGTTATTGACAAAGAATGACCTCTTTCACCAGCTTAGAGAAGCCAGGCTATGACACTGAGAGGGCTTCCTGATCTCTGAATCCTACATAGAAGACCTGGGAGGAGGGAGAGGAATCATCAGGGAATCACTTCTGTTTCCAACCAAGGGACCTTGGAAGTTAGGGCAGAGGGAGTGGGCGGTGGGTGCTAGGTACCTAGCAGGGTGGCTGGGTGGGTTTAACAGCCCGGTGAGTAGACATGCCAGACCCAGTAGCTGGTGATCCAAGATGATGCTCATATACTGCCCTGCACCAGGTGGCCAGCGCAGCTTCTGATGGACTTTTGCGCCTGGACCTCGATGTTCTGGACAGCGGGCCACCAGTGTTTACTCCCAGCGATGATGTCAGTGCAGCCCCGCCCCGGCAGACGCTCCAGCCTCCTATGCCTCCCACCAAGCCTTCTCCAGTGCCTGAGATGACCAGCCCTGGTGACAGGGCGGAGACACCTCCAGGGGAGAGAGCTCCAACCCCTCTCTCAGTGAGCACTGAGTCCCACCCTGAGAGCCAAGAGGACTCAGAGATCCCAGCTGGGGAGGACAGGGACCCTGAGCAGCCCCCTGACAAGGTTCTGCCTGACAAACTGAAGGTGAGCTGGGAGAACCCCAGCCCTGAGAAGACCCCTGCCCCTGAGAATGCAAGAGCATCTCAGCTACCCTGTTCTGAGACTTCTGAGGCAGCTCCCAAAGAGGGTGGGAAGCCCCCTACACCCCCACCCAAGATCTTATCAGAGAAACTGAAAACTTCCATGAGTCAGGTGGAGGCTTCTAGGTCAGCCCAGAATCCTGAGGTCCCTGAGACCTCTGCCCCAGGCCCAGCTCAGGTCTCAGTGAATGGCATGGATGACAACTCAGAGCCCACCGAATCGTCCAAAGCTGTGGCCACCCCAGGAACCAGCCAGGAGGACGCCGCATCCACCGCACCGCCTACCTGGGATCAGCCGCTCCAGTTCCATCCCCGGTGTTCCTCCCTTGGGAATCTGCTTGGGCAGTCCAAGGAGCGGCTATATCGGGCCGAGCTGGAGGTGAAGATGGCCTCAGAACAGACGCAACAACTGTTGAACAAAGTGCTGGGCAGTGAGCTGCCCCCTATGAGCGCTGAGACACTGCTTAGCCAGGCTGTGGAGCAGTTGAGGCAGGCCACTCAGGTCCTCCAGGAAATCAGAGATTTGGGGGAACGGAGCCAGGAAGCACCTGGTCTAAGGGAGAAGCGGAAGGAGCTGGTGACCCTCTACAGGAGAAGTGCACCCTAGGGCTCAGCAGACCAGAGGCACAGTTCCTCCTGGCCGACCCAGTCCTTCAGAGCCCAGCCCTGCTGAGAATTGTGCTTCTGCTCAGGCTGTGGAAGGGCCACGGGGCATGTTGGGATTTGGCTGGGAACGCTGAGACTCCTGGGTGTCCTTTCCACCCTGGATTGGGCTGGCCAGTGGTGCCAGCTGCCACCTGGCCACTGCCTGCCGGTCTGGCCTGACCTCTAGGCTCTGGGATTGGGAGCATAATTCTGGGACCTACATGCTTGTCTCGTGGTTCTGAATGCCCCAGGTCGGTGACCCAGCACCTGGGTTCTCTGAGGGTGGCATCATCTCTGTTCCTCTCTTTTGGTAGTTTACATTTCTGACTTCTGAATAGAGCACAGCTGAGCCCCCCTGCAATCCCCATCTCCCAATATTCCCAGGCAGGGAACCCTGTGGCAGAGGCCACCTTAAAGCCAGCCCCCTTCAACTCCCACTCACTTATTCCTAGTAGCTACAGAAACCCTGGATGCAGACTCTCGGGCTCAGTTCACCCCTCAGTGGGGCCTCTCAAGGCAGGTGGGGTGCCGAAGCCACAGGGTGTGGCTCCTTTAGTGAGCTGTGACTGGAGGACTTAGACCTAGAGTACTCCGAGGTGGAGGAGGAGGAACGGCAAGGGTCTTCCCCTAGACTAGTCCCTGCCCTGGACCTCTGTGCCAAGCCTGGCACAGTTCTGAAGAGGCAAACCCCAGAGTGACCCTGGTGTCAACCTCAGAAACCCATATTCAGTGATCGTGAACAACCTTCAGAAGAACTGCCCCCTTCAACCCTGTTCCTCCCCAGATGGGATATATACCTGGATCTCTGTGAACCCTCTTTATTCCAAACAGGTTTAATATCCTAGCTTTCTTACCGATGAGGCTGTGTTAGGATCTAAAACCACTTCCAACCTACTCAGATACCCACTCTGCAGCCTGGGGCCCCCTCTCAAGCCCTTGTGGGATGTCTCTTGGCTGTGGGCAGTCCACTCTCCATCTTGCTCCAGTGGCTGGACCAAGGGCAGAACCTGTAGGTGCAGAGGCCCTGTGGGTCACAGGTTTGGGTCTGGCTCCCCAGGCCCTCACACTCATCAGGGCTTACCCAGGGCAGTTGAGCAGGTGTACTTTGTTTACAGAAAGAGGGTAGAGGGAGGGGCATGGTGGCATTCTGTGCCCTTTCTTCCTACTACCCCCAGTCCCAGCCACCAATAGTGCCCACTGAGCACCTGCCAGCACAGGCCAGGCCTTCCACTCTGTTTGTGAAGAGTCAGGCCACAGGTCCTGAGGCACCAAATGCATGGATGAGCAGCAACACTGTGACTCCTGGAGCAAAGTGGAGTGTTAGGACACAGTTTACCTCTCTATCAGTCCCTGACAGGAAAGCCCACAGTCACATGGGGGGAACCGCATACTCCCACCAGCAGCCTGTCATGTATTTCCAGGAACTGAAGCCTCAGTTTCCTCATCTGTCAATTCCAGGCTGGACTGGTAGCTCTGGCTTCCATGTGAGGGGGAGGAGGAGCTCCCATACCCACCCAGTGGCTGCTTGGTCTGCCTCCCTGAGGAAGATGGCATTCTGTTGTCTTTTGCTTACAAAGACCCTTTCTTGAATTTTGGCAATAAATCCTTTTTTACGGAACTTTTCTGCCCCAGCCTATTTGTTGGTATGGGGACCAGCTCTAGGGTTGGCCTCAAAGAAGCAGAGAGTAGACCGTGTGACTAGTGGCATTATTGGTCCCCTAGCCTTGGTTCTAAGGCCTCTTTTCCTAGGCTGGACTGGGAGCATCCCTCTCCTACCCCTCAGGGCTTCATCTTTGCAAATCTCCACCAAACCCACTGCCACGGAATCAATTCTGACTCATAATGATCCTACATAGGGTTTCTAAGATGGCCTAAACAGGAGCAAAGCAGAGCGCCTCTTCTTTCTCCCTCTAGTCAGCACCACCAGAGTCAGGCCCTTCCAGTTTACCCCCTTCCATCAATGTTTCATAGGCTGGGAATTAAGGATCTTAAGGAATAATGCTTTCAAAACATTTTTCAACTTTTTATTTGGAAATCATTTCGAACGTTCAGAAAAGTTACAAGAATAAAAATAGTACAAAGAACAGCATATACCCGTTTCTCAGATTCACTCATTGTTAATCTTTGGCACACTCACATATATGCATAATTTTTTTCTGAATCATTGGCAAGTTACTCCTAAATATTTCATGTGTATTGCCTAAAAAATAAAGATATTCTCTCATATAACCACAGTACAGTTATCAACTGTAAACTGTAACACTGATATAATGGTTCATTGTATTCTAAGTTTTCATCAGACTCAATAACATTCTTTGATTGCATCTATTCTTCCTCCAGTGCGGAATTCAGTGTAGAGCCAAGTATTGCATTTAATCACCTTGTATCTTTAGTCTCTTTAATCTGAAACATTTTACTTTGCCTTTTGTGACACTGGCATTTTCAAAGGAATACAGCCCACAGCCCCCACTCCTTTGATGCTTTCTGCTCCCTGGAAGATTTTGACACACTTAACAGCAAATCCTCCTTTAAAAAACATCATTCCACTTTGGGGGTTTTTCTGAGGTTTCCTCATCATTAGATTGAGGTTATGTATTCTCAATCCCTAAACTACTCAGGTCATGTTGGGCCCTTCCCAGGATGTCATATCTGGAAGCAAACTGAAGGGGTTTTGGTTACCTGCTCAAGGTGTCCAATGTTTTCACTGTATTGTTAAGTGCTATTGAGTCAGTTCTGACCCATAGCGATCCTGGAGATATGGTTTCCGATGAGCGGCTGGTGAGCTTGAACCGCCAACCTTGCAGTTCAAATGGCTTTTAATCTGGTGCATTAACCCACAGTGCCACACTATGTATAGTGAATGCTTATTTTTTTAACTTGCAAATAATATGAAATCTGTGAAATCTTCAGGTTGTGATGAATGGTTCTTGTGATGGCTCTCAAATGATTCCAATTTTAACCTCAGAGTCTGGTTCTCACTGGAGATGAGACTGTGGCACCCCTGGGACATCACAAGGGAACCCCAGGGCTTTACCAGATACTCATCGGGAGTCTCTGGGCCAGTGTCAAGATTCAAATCCCACTAGGGCATGTTGGGCCTGTCTCAGCCTCAGGGGATCTCAGTTTCTTCACCTTTGGAAGGGGGTCATAATGCTCCCCCCACTTCTTTTGTGAAGGAGTCCTGGTGGTGCTGTGGTTAAGCACTTGACTGCTAACTGAAAGGCTGGTGGTTCAAAACTACCAGTCCCTCTGCCTGAGAACAATACAGCACTCTGCTTCCATAAAGAACACAGCCTGGGGAGTTCTACCCTATCCTGTAGGCTCACTATGAGTCAGAGTGGACTCGAGGGCAGTGAGTTTTTAATTCCCTTATGTGAAAAGCACCACTGTCACAAAGTCTGGCTCCCTTCCCCCTCCTTTGTGAGGACTTGGGACAGGCCTGTGGCTAACATAACAGGAAGCACCTGACCCGGGGCCTATGGCCTGGCTATGACCCTGTGTCTCTCCTGAATTCCCCTCCATTGACCTGACATGTGACAGGCTTTCTGAGTGAGTGACCTGCAGAAGGTGACGGGGCCTCAGGTCCATCACTTTACCTTCACCAACCCCTTGATCTGTGAGGAAGTGGAAACAAGGTAAGGGAGAGAAGTTCCTTTGTTGATTGGGGTGTCCCCCCACTACGGTGTAGGGATTAGGTCCTCTCTGGGACCTTGAAGGGAGTGGCTGCTGAGAAGGTGTGGCTGACCAGTCATCGGACCAGGGAGGGTTCCCTAGGTCCTGTGTGCTGGAGTCCTTGCAGAGAAGGGGCAGCCTTCATTGAGAGCAAGCAGCTCAGGCTACATTATCTCAGGGCCCTGAAGCTCTGTGGGTAGTTCCAATGCAGAGTTTTGCAAACCACAGTGGCTAGCTATCTTCAGATGGAACCTAGGACGGGGAGGACCTAGAAGGAGAAGGCAGCATGCAGGTTGCCCCTTCCTCTGTCCCATTGAATGTTCTAGATCTACCATGTTTTGTGCTCTCCAGCCACAACCTCTGTCAGTAAACACCACATAAACTCAGCCAAGTGCAAGTTTTTGTGAGCGAGGAGGGTCTGTGAAGGAATTTGGAGGGTGAAGAAGTGATGACAAAATTTCCTCCCTGTTGTTATAATTTTATTTAAAAACACAATTTCTGGGGGAAGCAGCTGGGTATAAGTAGAAAATTGCCCACAGCTTTAGAATTGGAGGTGGATTCAAACCCCAGCCATAAATAACTGACTTTAGGCAAATTGTCGCAGCTTTTCATGTCTGTATGAAATTGGGCTAATTCTCTCTTTCACAGGGTTGCTGTGGAACACTTAGCCCACGGCCTACATCATGGAAAATGCTTCATAAACTTGAGAGGCATGACTTCAGAGCACCTATTATTTCCCAGGCCTGTTGGTCTCAGTCACGAGTCACCACTGTGGCCATGAGGGAGGCGAATGTAGTATGTTCACTTCATTTTACAAGTGAGAAAAGGGAGGCTTAAACAACTTTCCCAGGAGGTTACAAATTAGTGTCAGGACCTGGGCACACATCTGACTATTTCCTGCTATTTCTCTAGAGGTTCTCTGATTTCAGGTGATGCTCAATCCAGGGGACTTCTGGCTGACTTGGTATTTGGGACACCCTACCTTTGTGGACGCCTCAGCCCTAGCCTGGCTCTCCTCAGTCATGGCCTAAGGGAGAGGCTCAGGGAGGCCCTTCCCTTATAAGGACAATAATTTAGCGGTGATGAAGCAAATGCTCATCCTCCCAGCTGGGCAGGCAGGCAGGCAGGGGAGGGGGACGGGGGAGGGAAATGATTGTGGCTCTAGCAGCTACAGCTGAGAGCTCAGAGCTCAGGCCTCTGCAGGAACTCACCCACAGCACCAAGGCCTCCCCTCTCCCCTTCCTGTACCAGAAGCGCTGAATGGGGCTTTCCAATGGGTCCCATGGGCAG